TACCAACCCTCTTTTCTCCGGGCAACTCATGCCTCCCATCCCAGGGGGCTGCTGGGGGCGGTGGGTGCCCCAGGAAGGGCATCTGCCTACACTGAAATGCCTTGGCCATGGAGAGAGCAACAGGGAGGCTTTTGTTCTGCACCAGAAAATTTTCATCCTTCTTTACAGCTCTTTTTTTTATTTCCTTTGGCTGCACACTCAGAAATCTGAAGCAGATTAAAATACAGTTCCTCCCTCCCACTTCCTTAAAAAAAAAAAACCCAACCCCAAAGCTTGGCTGCTTAAAATCGTCAGATTTCAGTGAAGTCTTTTAAAGTTAACAGTTTCCTGGATCCTGTGCAGGCTAACTTATTTTTTCCCTCTAACCTCCGTGCATTTTGCCATCACATTTCTCAGCTGTTGCAGGAGGAGGGAGGGAGGACCAGGGTAGCTCCGATGTGGAGAAGGTTATTTCATGCGGAGGTTGGATGAGTCTGGTGTGGCACTTGCTGGATTTTCACCGTAGGGGACCGAAGGGTTGTCCCCGGGAGACTGAGCCCCTGCAGTATGGCCAGCAGGTAGGTCACGGCTGCATCGGTGACATCCTTTTGGGGCAAAATATTAGGGAAGTGGTACCATTGGAAGAAGAGAATAGGATGCTGTGGGTGGGACGGAGCTCTGTTTCTACTGACCGTTTATTTGCCAGGGGCTGTGATGGTTTGTACCTACTGCCGTGGCCACGGAGACCAGTGGAAGAGCTGCAAGGCTTGGCTGGCCATGACGGTAAGGAGTTTTTGTGGCTCGATGTGGTTCACCGCCTTAAATCCAGCCGGAATCTTCCTTACCTGCCATCTCTGCTTTTGTGCTTGGTCTGCTGCAGCATCTCCTGGTGGGAGAGCTGAACCGAAGCCCCCGGCTCTGGTAAGAAGAGCATCACAAGTTGAAGGAGTTATAAAGGAAAGAAAAAGTACTAGTCCGGTGCTGGTTGGTTTTGTTGCCTCTTCTTCAAGAGTGGTCTCTCCTTCCTTGGAAAAAATAACTTGAATTCCCAGATGGAAGATGTTTGGTTTTTCTCTTGTGTGGTTGAGGAGCTGGAGACGGCCAACCTTGGCCAACATCTTGGCCAATGCCAGTGATTATCAACACAAGCCCAAGGGCGAGTGAGGACAGCTGGAGCCTCGTCATCCAGCCGAAACATCCTTGGTCGCATGAGCGTGACCGAGAGGACAGCCTCTGAACCGTCTAAAATCCCTTTGACCCAGCAAACAGTGCAGAGATGAAAACCAAACCCAACCCTACGCAGCAACGCTGAGCTGCGCATTAACTCTGCCAAAGCTGGGAACAAAGGTTTAGGGGCTGGTTTTGCCTTTTTAAAATTTATTTGCAAGGCAAAACAGCTCAGCTGAGCGGAGCAAGCGTTGGTGGAGGAGTGTGAGCTGCTGGGTGGTTGCTGCGCTATAAAATCCAGCGCTCACGGTGGGGTGTGCTGCCTCCCCGAGCTCTTGTAGCATTTCCATGTTGGCCGGGAGAGTTTCTGAACATGCGTGTTGGTCTCTGGAGGCTATAATCAAATCCAGGCTTTACCAGAAATTGCCTCAAAACTTCCAGCGAGCCGAGGAAACCAAAAGCAACCGGAGTGAGGAAGCTTTTGGGTGGGCGTTCGGCACCGGTGGAGATGCTGCCTTCGGCGAGGGGTGCGAGGAGGGTGCGGGTGAGGGGCTAGTGCTGGCGAAGCAGTCGGGATGAGAGGTGAGTCTGCTCCCTGCGTAGCAGCTGGGGGGCATGCAATGTATATACGAGGAATGTATATATGACGGGAGGACAGAGGAAAGCCCAGGGGCTTTGGCAAAAAAGTGGTCTCAAGGGGGAAAGGAGATGCAGGAGCGAGGATGCTGCTTGGAGGAATGGGACATTCAGAGGATGCTTTGAGTTTTGGAGCATTGCTCCCCGGCACGTTTGGGTTCAGGTCCCACGGTTTCCTCGCCGGCTTCTCACCCCATGCAAAACTGAGAGCTGTGCAGTTAATGTGCTGTTGAAAACTCCTTGGTCCCAGGAAGGGTTTTGTGATCCCTCAGTAATTTTATTTGGGAAATGGGGTTCAGACTGCAGGTACTTTCCCTGCTTGTTGTGAAACTTAATTGCAGACCGTGTCCAGCCCTCTCCTGTGGGCAGAAAGGAAAACAAGGCGTATTTTTTAACTTCCTTTTCTAAGCTGGGGGTGGATGAACTTTATGCCTGGCTAGAAGCGGTTGTGATCATTCAAGGGTGAATGGTTCAGAGAATGATTGCAATAGAAAGAAATAAGAAGAAATAATAAATATGTGCTTTCCAGTTAAGGGTTATGAGTATTAACGTGGTGTTACGGCAGTGAGGAGGTTTTTACAGCGATACGAAGAGATCGGCTTGGTTTTCTGCCTGACTCCTGAAAAACACCCTGTTAGGGTTATTGTAAAATATTAGTGTCCTGTGTGATGAATCATAAAACTAAAATCATGGGAGAGATGATACACTGAAGTCGTTATCCCAGGCAGCTGCTCGTGGTTTAATTGGGTCTCTCCGAGGGGAGGGAGGTTTTGGTCACACACCCGAGACATGGTACGTCGACAGCCAACATCGTTGCATCTTCTTCTCAGCCGCCACTCGCAGGTGCTTCGGGGTTTTGCTGGGGGGAAGCAGCCTGGGGTTGTACTGAGGAATAAAGCTGAAACCTGGAAAAATCCCCTTAAACCACCAAACCCGGATCTCACTTGGAAAAAAACAAACCAAGTCTCTCGTATAGCCCCTATAATTTCTTGATGGCACTGACATGTATGGCATGGGAATGTCCTTGTCCTCTCCTTTCTGCCAGGGACGCGCTTGGGAGCGTGTTGAACCCGCGCCGGTTCATGTGCATGCTCAATGGTTTTGGAGGGGGGATTTCTACAGAATGAGGAACTGGTCTTGGAAACCAGAGAAGGAGAAGGGAAGGAAAACCTGCCTTGCTACAAGGCTTTCTGGCTGCTTTCAATATTTTGGCCTAATTAATGAGGGGTTTGGGGAATATTGGCTGCAGCTGGGGCTCCTCAGATGCAAATCCCCGCCCTCCAGCTGATGCAGCCTTTAACTTAAAGGATGATGTGTGTAAGGAAGAGGGGAAAATAGCTGGAGGAGAAGCTCACAGCAGGAGAAGCAAAATCCCAGCCCCAGCTGATCCAGCTCTGCTTTGTTTTCAGGGTTACCGAGCTGGGGGCTCAGTTTTGGGCAAGGATGCCTTTGCCCCAGGGGGCGAGGAGTGCGAAGGCAGCGCTGCTCTCTCCTTCCCCTCCGCCTGCCTTTGGAGAAGACCGTTGGTCTCCGAAGGGCATCCTGTGGTGCTGAAGGAGCCTCACGTCCGTGTGTTTTTGTCCCTATCTCCACAGCCTACCCATGAGCTCGGACTTCCAGCATTACAGTTTCAGGATGCCGAACATCGGGTTCCAGAACCTGCCTCTCAACATATACATCGTGGTTTTTGGCACGGCCATCTTCGTCTTCATCCTCAGTTTGCTCTTCTGTTGCTACTTGATCAGGTAAGGGAATGTTCTCTGCCGGCTTTCAACAGCTGCCCTCATTCAGACTGAGCTCAGCACCAATCCCTCCATCCTAAAACAAGGATGGCATCACCGTGTCTTGCCAAACTGATGCGACCCATGAAAGAAGTTTAACTTCCCCTCATTATCATGCTCAGCCCAATATTCATCCCCAAGAGCCGATAGACCCAGCGCAAACACCGTGAGTACCAAACACCGTCTGCCCAACACATCTTGGAGCTACCTCAGGGCAATTACGTTATCTGCTTTAAAAACAATTTATGTGTGTGCTCAAACAGGCATGAAAACATGGTTGGCTTCTCAAAAAGACTGGAAAGGGATGTTTTATGGTTCCTGCTTGCTGCTTAATGTTTCAACACGTTTTCCTCTTTAATAAGTAACTTGTGCACTGTGTGCTTAAGAAATGTTTAATACCTGCTCTGTTCGTTATCGTACACAAATTGCTCATTCAACAGCGTAGTTTAGAGATTAATGATGCAGAGTTGATTTGTTAATCTGAATGATGGGGAGTGAGATGGGAGGGTTAAAGGTTGATCCAGTTTGGGGCTTGTTTTAATTATTTTATGAACCATTGGGGAGAGGGTTGGGCCACTAATTGAGAGGAGAAACTCTTCCTGCTGGAGAGAAAGCAAGAGGCAAGTGGGGAAAAATACGGTGCCTGGAAATTGAGGTGGCGACGGGTACGAGTTGTGCTGATAACCTGGGATGTGGGGCTGGCTACGCCTCTCCCTGTGGTCAGGAGCAGAGGGCATCACCCTGCCAGCGGTAGCTGCTCAAATCCTATGCACCCAGAGCTCTTCTACCAAGTTGCAGAAGAGCTTCTCCATCCCCTTTCCCTCATCTTTGGCTTTTCAGATCGCCCCAGCTCCCTGCCAGCCGTACATCCATCGCAGCTCCTCTCTCTGCCTCCGTAAGGCAGGCACCTGATCTCTTCTTGCACCACGGAGGCTGTGTCTGGCTGGCTCACAGCAGCTGGTCCCACCAGGTTTTCTATCCAGAGGGTGTTGAAAATGTTTTGTCCTGCATTTGTAGACCAGGAAGCAAGATTTCAGTGTTGCCTTCTAAATAATTGATAATTTCCACCTATTTTCAGTTCTGCAGGAAGCAAAACCTCATAAAACTTGCAGGTGAGCCCAAACCCAGGCTTACCCAGGGGTGATTTGGGCTGCTTGGGCATCAGGTCTTCATTTTTGCCTGCAACTATGCATAAGAAGAGGGTGTTTGAAGGTGCAATGCATCTGTCCACCCCGGCAGACATGGCAGGAACAGATTGAGGGCTCATCCCCCACCAGGTGATTTGTATCTTGGTGCTCAGTGTTAACAAGGTCTTTGCTGGGATGTTACGTCTGTGTCCAGTGTTCACATTTTAACTGAGATACCAGTGGGAGGGGACGCAAAAAAAAAAATAGAGGAATAATGTTCAGAAGGCTCAAGGATGTGTTTTGCCCAGATTGAGCTTGAATCTATATGGCTTGCTTGCAAAATGAAGAGGTGTTTGGACTTTCAGAGTATTTTCCTGGGCACCGGGTCTTGCTGGGTGTGTTCTGCCCCAAACAAGAAATAACAAGTAGTAATGTCTGGAAGATCAAGCCAGAAAATCTTTAAATTTAGAAGCTGGAGGCATGTTGTAAGAGAGAGGGTGAGTAACTGTTGAAGCGAGCCAGCAAGGGAAGTGGCAAGTCCTCCGTCTCTTCGTGTCTTTCAATCAAGACAGAGGGCCTTTCTGGATAAGACATTTTGGCTCCCACTCCTGGGAGTAACTAAGTGCTATTTAATGACCTATGATGGATGGGAGGTTGGATTAGATCATCTAACGATCCCTTTATAGCCCTAAACTCTACAGCGACTCTATGAATTGCTCTTCAAACCACTGTCCCCAGCTCTATTATTGATAAAACTGAGCCAAACAAGAATCCTCCAGCCTCCGTTTTGGAGGGTTTTAGCTGTGCCAATGTGCCCCCATCCACCTCCTTTGAAGTTACTGTGTAATCTCAGCTTGTGTGGGGTAGAAAAGCTTGAGCTTCAGCGTGGTTTGGGAAGCCTTGTAGTTGGACAGCAGGACCACACACCTGCAAGTGCAGAGCATCCCAAATGATTGTTCCGGGAAGGGTTTACCGTGTCACTCCCCTTCAGCACCAGTTAACGCCAAAGCATGGCTGGTGCCTGGCTGCGTAGCAAGCAAATACCCGTAGCCCTGCGGCAAGAGGATTTGGTATACAAAGTAAAATATTGAATTTAAATTGAATTTTTCCCCCTCTCAAACCAGCTGCTAAAACGTCCTGAATTACCCCATGCATTCCTGACCCCTTCTGCAATGAGATGCGTGGCTTTAATAACAGAATTACATCTGGAGGCTGTATAAAAGAGAGATGTTAATTTAACGAGCAGATGCAGCATGGATCAAACCGTGTCATCACAGAGAAGACGACCCAGGGCAGAGGGGTGCAGGCAAGGACAGTCCCTTCGGGACCTCCAGGGCTCTGCTTGCACCCGCGCGGGTTATTTGCAGGTAACGGCGGCTCATTGTGACTTTCTCCAGGCTCTGCTTAGGTGCAGAGGCAACGCAGCCCATCCTCTCCCTCTCCCTCCTCTCTCGTGACTCGCAGATCTGCAAATATTTGGCAAATAACAAGTGGAGCTTGTGACACCATCCTCCGGGCCCTGGTTCTCATTGCTTGTTCCGGATCAGAGCATCCCATGCAGCCCTCCTCTGCATCCCTGGCTGGGGAGGCATCTGGAGCGTGGAAGAGCCAATATCTGGTGTATTTACCTCTAATCGCAGAGCTGACGGCATTAAATAAAGGATGCGCCGGGGGAAGAGGGCACGTGGGCTGCGCTTCACAACTGTGTCAATATAAAGCGCGCTGCCCGCTCCGACAGGAGGAAGAAGTGACGTTTTTAGTCGGGTTGGCTCAAAATGGAGTCCGGTAGGAATTTCAGCCGAAAGCAAAGCAAAGGTCATCGCTGTCTGTGTGCAGTCCAGGTGAATCTTGAGCTCTTCCACCACTGCAAACCACTCTGGTACAAAGCAAGGGTCCCACTCTTGCAGTTTGTTTGGAAAATGCCTCTGTTTGGAAAAATGTTAAAAAAAAAAAAGGAAATGAAATTTTGCAGGCAGCTATTCGTGTCTGATCTCTGCTGAATTAATGACAGTAATAACCTCCTGTTGCCTTCAGTCCCCTAAAACCCAAATCAGAAGGATGCTGAGCCGAGTGATGCTGTGCTTTCTGAGCATTTGAAAGGTGTGCGTGCTCGCCCTGGTAAAAGCTGCGGCATCCTCTCTACCCATGCTTTGCTGCGGGTTGCATGGGGCTTGTCTCTGCCCAGACTAGAGCGGCTTGAAGTCTACGAGAGGTGTAGGGTACGTAGCCCTTAAAAAGCCCTTTTTTATAGGGCTCTTTCCTTCTGTGTTCAAACCTGCCGGGATCAAACACAGCGGTTGGGCTTGGAGAGCCCCAGGAGCCCGGCCAGGCTGGGGAGAGCGATGCAGGGATGGGGCGAAGAGCCAGTGCCCAGTACATTTCTACTCTTTCTACTGTAAAGCATCAAATAAGCAGATATTGGAGGTAAACCTGCAAAAAATTGTTTCCTCTGCATTTTATTCCTGTAGTCGTTTGCTTTTTATAGCTGATTCAGAGTCACTCAGAGAAATAGGGTGCTCCGTTACCTGCGGGAGGCATGGAAAGCTTGGGAAGAGATCGGAAAATCCGCAAGATGCGGTTATTAAATTCAGGGGTGGGTGATGGCGTGTGCGTACACACGGTCTCCAGCCACGCGCTGGCTTTTAAGACCCTGTGTGGTCCCTTATCTAAATCAGCCGTCTGCCAGAAATTCCTCCGGAGTCACAGCACTTGACACAAGATGGATGAAACCCTGGGTCCAACGGGGAATAACGCTTGCCAGGATCCAGGCTCTCGTTACGACAGCTGCGCTAGGTCCAACCGGGATCCATCTGGCCCAGGATCCTGGCTTTGAAAGGACAAGCGTGGAGGAGCAGACCGAACTTTGGGACCAGATGTGCTCGTGCTGTTCCCCATAACCTTCAGGGAAGGGTGTGGGGTGGTTTTTTGGGGGAAAGTCTCCCCATAGAGCTCAGCACCAGCCTGTGGCATTGTAGCATCTGCACCCTGACAGCATGGAGCTGCACAGATCCATGGCCAGGTGGTTGCTTCTTCCCCATCGCTGCTCCAGATGCCACCGCCACATCCGCAGATGCTTGGGCTTGTTCTGCACGACACCTTCCCTCTGGTGAACCAAAGCCTCGGCGGCCGCTCGGTGCTCCATAAGACAGATGCTTTTTCCCGTGCTGGGAGAATTTTTTCCCCTTGTATTCAGTCTCCAACTGCGCATCTTCCTTTGCCCCATCTGTGTTTCATAACCAGTTTCCCAGCTGCCAGGATCCCTGCAGATTGGGCCGGTTTCATCCTGTTCTCTCTATTGTTCGTGCATCTTCTGGTCATGTTTCTGCTCGGGGTCGTTGGCGGAGGGATGCGACCCCAGCCTTCTCCTTCCTGCCTGCTGCCATGTTATCCATGGCTCTGCACGGAGGTTCCCCACCAGGCAGCGTCATTAGAGGTGAAGAGATGGCCCCCCACTAAATTTGGGGCTCAGGAGCTGACTTACTGCAACTCTCTCTGCATCGTTAAGGTGCATTTTTACCCCATTCCTCCACTTTCAAGGCCCACGATGTTTTGGGGAGGGTGTTTTTGAGCAAAAAGGAGAGGGGTGTATTTTTATATCTTATTTTTATAACTCACCCACTGCAGCCTTGCAGGATCAGAAGGCTGCCGAGAGCTCAGAGTGAAACAGCTGGGGTTTGAGACAACCCCGGAATATTTTTGGAGAAGTGAAATTACAGGCAAGGGGGCTTCCCGGCTGCAATCACACTCAAGGCTGGCTGGGGAAAATACTCCTATGGCTGTCCAAGCCCTGCAGACTTGCCCTGACGTCTTATTAAACGTCCTTGGCCAAGTCTTTAGCCTTGATGACTTCCCTCTTGAGTTTTCAGGGCACTTCACTAAATGCCATGTCTTGTAATGAGAAGCGATATTAGTTGGGTTTTTAAAAAATGTATTTATAATTGGCTTCTCCAGCCAGCTGATGCCTGCGGAGCGCTCCACGGGGCTGCAGAAAATGGGCTGTTATTTGTTCTGCTCTGGAAAGATGTTTTAATAATAATAGTTTGAACTGAAAACTATGGAGGGATGTGATGTGGTTTTGTGTTTGCTGTTTCACTCGGTTCCCAGGAACAGGGACAAATGCTCCCACCCCTGCCTCCTGCAGAGGGGAGGCTGGAGAGGGAGGGGATGGGACCGAACCTTTTCTTGTGGCCTTACCACCGGCTGGACTTCCCACCGTGGCAGGCGTTGTTGGAATAGGTTCATCCCCTCCGTCTCAATCCCTTAATTTGCTCCAGGAATAGATGCTGTTGGTCGGGGGGGGGGGAAATTAAAAAAAAAACAACCCAAACTGTGCTGAGCCCAGTGCTTTGAAAGGTAGGTGAGGGGAAGCAGCTTATGCAGGTTATAATCCTGATTTTTCCACCACCGCTGCACTGGCTCCAGCCCTGGCTCCTTCCCTGGGGCAGGGAGTGCCCTGGGTGATCGCGGGGGCTTGTCTCCCCGCGCTTTAACGTAGCGCATCCCTGTCTGCTCTCCTGATTAAAAAAACAAACAAACAAAAAACACCCCAAATCCCAAGATACGTATTTGTTCTCCTGTGGGTTTTGGCAGCTCGTTATCCCTGGTTATTAAATTGCCCCCTGTGATAGGAGGGGAGAGATGGAAGATGTCCCGTGGCTTCTCTTCCAAAGCTTTCTGCTCCGGTATCGTCTTCAGATAAATATCCGTCCTTTGCTTGCTCAGCCAGGTGGATGACCTCTTGTTGAGTGCTTCTTCCTGAGAGTTTGGGAGGCCGAAGGAGCACGATTGAGCTTATCACTGAAGATAAGACTGTGTTTGAGGAACCCAACACCGCCCAAGCAGTGTGATGGGGGCTTCAGTGGGAAACCTCTGAGCAGGGAGGTCTCCTTCCTCCGCGGGAGCAGAACTTTCCTCGGGTCTGAGTACCCATCACTTGGAAAAAGGCACCGTGTCCGGTCTAGAAATTGTTGGCAGCAGAAATGGTTGGAAACTGAGGGTATTTATGGCAGCTCGTGATTTACTCAGCGGCTTTTGTTGGTCTTAACAGCGCAGGTGATGTCTGCGTGGAAAATTAGGGAGGTCAAAAGAGGAAAAGGGGAGGAGGTTGTGTGCTTTTGGGTGGCGATGTTGTCTTCCCAGTTACTTCCATTGCTGTTAAATGGCTGTTGCTTAAATGCGTCGTTTCATGTGGCTATTCTCATTTCCGAAATGAAAAATTAAAAAAAAAAAAAAAATTAAATCTGGAAAGGAGGGAAATGAAATGATTGAGGTATTACAGTAATCCTGATTTATTTATTTTTTTTTTGCCTACCTTCACGTTTCTCCCTGTTTTGATTGCAGGCTCAGACATCAAGCACACAAAGAGCTTTACGCCTACAAACAGGTGAGATGATACGCAGTAAGTTGTCGTCTTCTTCCCTTCTGCTTAGCGCCAAATCCACGTTGGAGGAGTCACTCCATTGAGTTCCCTTGTGCTTTTCTTCTCCTTGGGAGGCTTCTGATGTTCAAACGAAAGTTGTAAAGCTGGGCAAACCTCTGTCCCTGCTGATTTAATTTTTTTTCTACCAACTGGGCACCCCAGGAGCATCTCTCACCTCTTAGTCTGCAGGTCTTCGTGTTTTCAGACGAGGTCCCTGAGCGGTGGGGACATCTCCAGCCCTGGAGCACCTCAACTGGGCAACCTCTCCAAATCCTCCCTGTATTTCCCACTGGTGTTAAAATCAACACGGCCAAGAGGTCGATGTCGGGTTGCTGCTTCAACGTCCTGTTTTCTCCAGGGCTTGTGTAATTTTACTGCCACAGATCTGTCGTTCGAGCAGGAAACTGGGTGGAGTTGGGCTGCTATGAGATGATAACGTGTCGTCATCCTGGATTTGTAGCCCTCTCCAGGTGTTTAGCCTGGATGGAGTGAAAATGAAGTGGCAGATGTCCATGCAGGAGCTTGTTGCAGAGCGTGGGAGCCCAGGTTTAAATTTGGGAGATCTCCTGGATTTGGTCCTCACGTTAGTTGTTATAGCTCTGCCAGCGGTGCCTTCCTCCTGTTCCTGCACAGGGGTGAAGACCCGATGCGCTCCCTGGCTCTGCCGGGTTTACTGGAGGCTTCCAGTTCTACTGGGACGCTAAACGGGATCTCTCTTTACGGAGATTTTTCCTGCGACTGCTCATGGCAGAAGCTGTGTCCTGACCCCAGCACTCTGTCTTACAGGTTATACTCAAGGAGAAGGTGAAGGAGCTGAACCTACACGAGGTGAGTACGTCCCTGGGGCGGTAGCGTAAAGGAAAGACTCCCTCACCCTCCTCTTCCTCGCACTGGGGAGGGGATGGAGGACAGGCACAGGTAGGAGGGGGCAAAAACTCAAATTTCACTCCCTCGGGAGCAAAAAGCACAGCTGGGTGTGCTGTGGAAGTCTGGAAAGCACAACTGCTTTACTTGTTTTGGGAGAAACGGGGCACCCTGAAGCCTCGAAGCCTTTGTCCCCGTCTGTGGGTGCCTGGGGGCGGCGTGGGGCGTTTGCCGTGCTTGGGCAGGGCGGCAGAGCTGGACCCCGGCTGAGGCAGCCAGCCGGGATGCCCTGGCCTTGGCTCTCTGCCTTTTAGCTGGGACGAGAGGTGAAGGAGCGGCGTGAGGAGCCCTGGGGGGTCCTGCGGCTGCTGCAGTGGACGGGGGAATATGTTGGATTTCAGGAAACCTGCCCGGAGAAGGTTTTATCCGGCTGCAGAGGTGTGCTGGGATCACCGCCCGCTTGCTGCCAGCAGCAGGGTTTGCTCTGCAGCCTCTTACCCCGTTACAGGGAACACGGCCAGGGCAGGTTGACGGCAGCTCCTGACGCTGCTTTTCTCTTTCAGCAAGTACTTGGTTGTTTATGCAGTAGGTAAAAGCAGATCTGCAAAGGGGGTCTGGATTAAACCATTGCCCTCCTCCTCCTGTGTCCCCTTTAGCTTTTCCTGCGTTATTATTTGCTGCATTACTGTTATTATTATCTGCATTATTATTTATTGCATTATTATTATCACTACAAGAAAGACATTTGAGGTGCTGGAGCGTGTCCAGAGAAGGGCAACGAAGGGGGGGAAGGGTCTGGAGCACAAGTCTGATGGGGAGCGGCTGAGGGAGCTGGGGGTGTTTGGTCTGGAGAAGAGAAGGCTGAGGGGAGATCTGATCACCCTCTACAACAACCTGAAAGGAGGGGGTAGCCAGGAGGGGGTTGGTCTCTTCTCCCAAGTAATGAGTGATAGGACAAGAGGAAATGTCAAGTTGCGCCAGGGGAGGTTCAGGCTTGACATTAGAAAGAACTTCTTCACTGTTAGAGTTGTTAGGCATTGGAACAGGCTCCCCAGGCAGGTGGTGGAGTCACCATCCCTGGAGGTGTTCAAAAAACGTTTAGATGTGGTGCTTCAAAACATGGTTTAGTGGGTTTAGCAGGCATGGTGGTGTTGGCTATATGGTTGGACTTGATGATCTTTGAGGTCTCTTCCAACCATAACGATTCTATGATTCTGTGATCACTGCGACAAAAAGCTGTGGATAAAGGGGGAGGCAGAGTGGGCGGTGTCCCTTGAGGGTTACGTCCCCTCCAGCCCCGCTCAGCCTCGCCACCATCGGAGGATGACGATACCCAGCAC